TGGATACTAATCTTTTATCAGATATGTCATTTGCAAATATCTTCTCCTGTTCAGTAGATTGTCTTTTAGTTTTGTTGTTTCCTTTACTGTGAAGAAGCTTTTTATTTTGATACAGTCACAATAGTTTATTTTTGCTTTTATTTCCCTTGCCTCAGGAGACATATCTTGAAAAATGCTGCTGCAGCTGATGTCAGAGAGATTATTGCCTGTGCTCTTGAAGGATTTTTATGGTTTCAAGTCTCACATTTAGGTCTTCAATCCATTTTGAGCGTTTTGGGTATGGTGAATGAAAGTGCTCCAGTTTCATTCTTTTACATGTGGCCATTTGTTGAAAAGACTGTCTTTTTCCCATTGTGTATTTATCCCTTCTTTGTCAAAGATTAATTGACCAGGTAACTGGATTTATTTCTGGGTTTTCATTCTCATGGACCACTCTTGTTTTTTTTGTTTTTTTTTTTTAAGATTTTATTTTTTTTTGACAGAGGGAGACACAGTGAGAGAGGGAACAGAAGCAGAGGGAGTGGGAGAGGGAGAAGCAGGCTCTCCACTGAGCCAGGAACCCAATGCGGGGCTCAATCCCAGGATCCTGGGATCATTACCCAAGCTGAAGGCAGACGCTTAACAGCTGAGCCACTCAGGTGCCCCTCATGGACCACTCTTATGGCATCACACACAATAATGTCATTCATTGTTTTCATGACCATCTTCCTTGCTAAGCAGTGTCCTTCCTCTTCAATATCAGGGAAATACCTGATTTTTTCTATATCCCGACTCCAGTTCAGCCTTTTTATTCCTAGATATTCCATTAGTGGACCCAGGAGGTGGGGTAGATTCAGTACTGTACTTAAGGGCTCTCAGAGAGCTCTCCTCCTACCCTTAGATACCCCTCCTTGGGCATGAATACCACATCCTGACCTTGACCTTCTGGCCTTACCTCTCTTCTTGCTAATAACCAGCTAGTGCCTGAGACTGGCAATTTTTTCTGATAGGATCTTGAAATACAGAATGATCAGTCCCTTATACCTTTGGAGGATGGTTTGGAAATTGAGGTCCAGGCCAGGCCTTGAGGGAGTCGGGGGGCCAGGATACATCAATTTGATTAGGGCAGTTGTATGTATGTATGTATGTATCTATGTATTTTTAAGATTTTTTTATTTGTTTGACAGAGAGAGAGAGCACAGCAGGGGGAGTGGTTGACAGAGTGAGAGGGAGAAGCAGGCTTTCTGCTGAGCAGGAGCCCGATATAGGGCTTAATCCCAGAATCTTGGGATCATGACCTTTGGGAAGGCAGATGCGCAACCAACAGAGCCACCCAGGCACCCCAGGGCAGTTGTATTTAGCTGTAAATTTGCGGAGTGTGGAGCTGGAAGGGCAGAGTTAAGACAGGGTCAGGGTCCATGCAGATGGAGGTAACCTAGGTCTAGTTATACTGTTGGTTCAAAAAAAAAAATCTGATGACACTGTTACAGACATTTGTCAAAGGAACACATTCTGGAAAGAGACTTGATAAAGAAGCAAATTGATATATATATAGATAGATTAATTTCATATTATTACATAATTAATTTTTTTCAGTTAGAACAAGTTGTTTTCCTATTTAAGTAAAACAAAAATAAGTTTTTTGTTTCCATGTCCCCTTTTTTATAGTTTTGCAGCAGAATGCCCAATATGAAACATAATTACAAATACTCAGCTATGCACAAGAGAATAGTCCTTAAGTACCAATGGAGACATGATTCTTTTTAAATAAATGCCTAAACACAACTCAGGTCCCATAGGCACCTGGACTCTAAGGTCTGTGTAGCAAAATGAAACAAAACAAAACAAAAAACCAGTTTTTTTATATAGAACATCCAAAACGAATTATAAAACACACAACAGTGCTTAATATCTTAATATCTTAATAAATACTTCATTCCTTTAGAATAAAGTCTATAGGGGCACCTGGGTGGCTCAGTGGGTGAAAGCCTCTGCCTTCGGCTCAGGTCATGATCCCAGTGTCCTGGGATCGAGCCCCGCATCGGGCTCTCTGCTCAGCGGGGAGCCTGCTTCCTCCTCTCTCTCTCTCTCTGACTGCCTCTCAGCCTATCTCTATCTGTCAAATAAATAAGTAAAATCTTTAAAAAAAAAAAAAAGAATAAAGTCCATAAAGCATTCTCTCAAAAAAAAAAAAAAAAAGGATGAATGTGCCATCCATGCTCCTTCTTTTTTTTTTTCTTTTTTTTTTTTTAAGATTTTATTTATTTCTTTGTCAGAAAGAGAGAGAGAGAGAGCCCAAGAAGAGGGAGAAGGATGACAGAGGTAGAGGGAGAGGGAGGCAGGGGGAGAAGCAGACTCCATGGCTGAATAGGGAGCCCGAAATGGGACTCGAGCCTAGGACCCTGGGGATCCTGACCTGAGCTGAAGGCAGATGCTTAACCGACTGAGCCACCCGAGTGACCTCAGACAGAACATGTTCTGTCTCTCTTGCTTTTTTACTGCTCCTTCTTGCCTCTTTTCACCCTTCACTGTCTGTTTCAGGTTTATAAAAGTGAACATATAATACTTTTAAATAGCCCCATGATACAAAAGAAACTGTCTTCCACAAAATGCCCCAACATCGGTAGCCACAGCCCTCATCCTGGTACTGAGGAAGTCCAATCTGAGGGCGGGCAGCTTTCACGTTGAGGTGACACACACCTTCTTCTCCCTGCCTCTTCCTTTCACCCGTCTCAGAGAGAGAGGTGTGGGAGAGAGGCAAGAAACAAAACCCCAAAGAGCCCTATTTGCTGGCATAGTCAAGGATGAAGGTTTAAAAGGATACCCACTATCCAGTTAATGCTGGAACTTGAAGAGAGGGCTGGGGGACTGGGGAAAGAACATTAGTATTGTTTTACTTATTGAAAAAAAAAACAACAAACAACAAATACAGGACCCTAATATATAAAGAATATATAATAAAGGCGTAGTTTTAAATGAAAAAGAAATGAAGCCAGGGGTACAGTGGAGGAGGCAAAAGAAAGAGGGAGAAAAGATGAATGATAAGGGGCTGAAAGAGTAAAGATGATATTTCAAATGTAAACTGTATATAAAACTATCACCTCTTCTCTAATTAATTTTTTAATAGTGAAATCAGAGCCGGATGTTATTTTTTAATGGTGAAAAGCTAGATTGGGTTGGGGAGGACAGCACGTGGGCCAGGTGAGCACAGGTAGACGATTGGGAAAGAGTGTAGGAAGGCACACATTCACCCTGGCTGATCCTGTCCTGGAGTGGAATCTGTCTCCTGGGTTGAGCCAGGTGCGCCCTGAGCGCCCGATGGGTGTTGTCGCCCTGGCCGTGAAGATGTAGTGCCCGCCATGGCCCGGTAGGTGGCAGCACATCCCAGAGGTCCGAGGTGGTAGTGGAGTGAGGCACCCGGCCACCGCCCTGCCTTGCTGGCGCTGGCTGCTTGCCTCTGGACGTCCTTACTTAGCAACTTTGGGTAGAAGTATTTATTGGTTTCCTCTGAGAAACCTAGAAAGCCAGTTGGCTTAGCTAGTTGAGGAAGTTCTGAAGCTCCTCCTCGCAGGAGGTTTGAGTGGCAGGGTAGGGTGTGCAGGGAGAAGTGAGGGCAAGGTCTCAGGATCTGGAGGCAGATTCTGGGATTCCGTGCTTTGCCTTGCCTTTAAAACAGTGGAGCTGGCTATGTATGAGAGAGAATTTTGGCGGCTCTGTTTCTTTATTTTTACTAACCTAAGAAATAATACTTTTTTTCCTTTTAATTCAGAGATACAAGATAAAAACCAAAGATGGACCATAACTAAGATAACCGCTATTGATTATAAAAAAATGATATTAAAATAAGACCTGTTTAAGGTTTGAAAATTTGAACTACAGAAAAGTATAAAATAAGAAGTAAATGGGGGTGCCTGGGTGGCTCAGTCAGTGGTGTGTGTAACTCTTGATCTCACAGTTGTAGGTTTGAGCACCATGTTGGATGTAGAGATTACTTAAAAATAAAATCTTTTGGGGTTCCTGGGTGGCTCACTTGGTTAAGTGTCTGACTCTTCAGCCCAGGTCTTGATCTCAGGGTTATGAGTTCAAGCCCCGAACTGGGGTCCATGCTGTGCTGGGCAGGAGCCTACTTAAACAAACAAACAAACAAACAAACAAACAAAGAAAAACACAGGGGTGCCTGGGTGGCTCAGTGTGTTAAGCCTCTGCCTTCAGCTCAGGTCATGATCTCAGGGTCCTGGGACCGAGCCCCACATGGGGCTCTCTGCTTAGTGGGGAGCCTGCTTCCTGTCCCCTCTCTCTCTGCCTGCCTTTCAGCCTACTTGTGATCTGTCTGTCAAATAAATAAAATCTTTAAAAAAAACAAAAAACAAACAAAAAACCCACAACTTTGTTATTCCCCGCAAAGATGTATTTATTTATTTGACAGAGAGATAGCACAAGTAGGCAGAGCAGCAGGCAGAGGCAGAGGGAGAAGCAGGCTCCCCATTGATCAGGAACCGCCCCCCAATACAGGGCATGAATCCAGGACTCTGGGATCATGACCTGAGCCGAAGGCAGCTGCTTAATCGACTGAGCCACCCAGGTACCCCCCCAAGACCCCCAACTTTTAAAAAATAAATAAATACTAGTGCAGTGGACATTTTTGTATGCTTGCTTTGAGATACTTGTACAAGTCCAAATTCCTAGGGGTGATCAGAGGGCAAATACATTTTAAAACTTGTATGGCTGGCTGTAAAGAAACCCACTGCACCAGTAGCCCTTCTCTGCGGGGACACTGGTGCCTAGCAGGAAGTAGGCCCAGCTTCCCTGCTGTAGGACAGCAGTCAGCTCCCTCCATGGCTTTCGCCTTCCCCACTGCAAATCTCCCCAGAGGTTGTGAGGTGAGTGTTCCCATGTGGGAGCCTCTAGCCTTTCTTATAGCGTGGGGGAGCACTCCATGGAGTCCCTTTATCGCTCTAGTGAGATTTTCCTGTCTGTCCTGGGGTGAGAGAATGAATAACCACTTTGTCTGGCTCTTCCAGGTAAAGAAGGCATATAGGCAGAAGGCCCTCTCCTGCCACCCAGACAAAAACCCGGATAATCCCAGAGCAGGTGAGACTCTCCCAGGTGTGGGAAGGTGAGACCTGCTCACCAGGACATGGTGTCTCCCCCGTCTCGCTCCCGTGGGTGCGCTGGGGAGTGCTTGCACGTGCAGGCAGCCCTAAGCCTGCACTTTGCATTTGGGGGCGTCTGGTCAGTTGCCTGTGCACCCCCCTTCCTTTGCTGGTCCATCCTCTGCTGACACCTGCCTTCCTGCCAGCCTGTGGCTTCTCTGAGGTGCTTTTCTGAAGGAGCACACTGTCATCAAGCCCAACTTCATTTTCTCCTCTCTCTTTTTTGATATGTATTTTAGCTGAGCTCTTCCACCAGCTTTCTCAGGCCTTGGAGGTACTGACCGATGCTGCAGCCAGGGTAAGCTCATCCTCCTCCAGCTGCCTCATCCCTGTGGTATGAGCCCACTGTGGCACCTCGGCCTCAGTCCCCTGTACTCTGCCCAGTAGCCCAGTCCTTGTGGCCCTAGCCTGAGGCCTGATTGCCAGGCTGCCTCCTGATGGCCCTGGGACTGCACAGCTGTGCTCTGGGCTAGTCCTCCAGCTGAGTGCTCCTCGGTGTTCCTTTCTCCTGCCAGGCTGCATACGACAAGGTCAGGAAAGCCAAGAAGCAGGCAGCGGAGAGGACCCAGAAACTTGATGAGAGAAGGAAGAAAGTGAAGCTTGGTAGGTGACATCGTGGTGCTGGGTGGCCTTTGGTTTCCCTGGGCCATTTTCACACAGCCCTTCACCTTTCTTCCTGGAACCATGATTCTAGCACCTCCGAACTTTTTGGCTCCAGCTCTGGGCACAGCCTTTCTCTCAGGGGTGGGTCCTGAAGGACACTCTTAGGAATAACAGCAGTGACTAGATTTACTACCGGCTAGCATTGTGACAGATGCTTTCCAGCCTCCTGTAATTACGACAACTATCCAAGGAGGTGGGTATTACCAAACCCATTTTTTATAGATAAAGAAGCTAAGGTACCAAAAAGGTAAGAACTCACTGAAGCTGGGATTTAATCCCACTCGGTAAGAGTGAAGCCTGTGTTCCTGATCACTGTGCCATCCTGGATCTTTCCGTGTGTCCCAGCCTCATGTCTGCACGGAGCTTTCACTCTGTGGAGTCCCCTCAGAAGGATCCAAATAGGCCCAGGCATTCTTTTTTAAAATTTTTTAATAAACAGTTTTATTATAGTGTATTTTGAATATCATCTACCCATTTCAAGTGTACGATTCAATGATTTTGAGGAAATTTCCCAAATGGTACGACTGTGACTGTAAATCAGCTTTAGAACATTTTTATCACGCAGTAAGATTGTTCCAGGTGGTCTTTACCCAATTTTTCTCCCCTTCTTCTTGCCCATTTGACATCCATATATTTAATATGTACATCTACCATCCCGGTTCTTCCATCTTGCTATCAAAAACAAACAAAAAAACCTGGTGATTCTAGGTAAGTAAAGTGCCCAGAGAAGAGAGCCATGAGTGCCAGGCTGGAGAGGAGGGTTTGTCACAGCAGCTGGCCTGGCCTAGGGCCACAGGCAGGTTTCTCTTGGAAGGTGGAAAGGGCTCCAGGACATGGGGTGATGTCTTCACATGGACTCTGCCATCGCTGTAGGAGCCACCAGAGTCTAGTCCCAAGTGAGGCTTGGTAAATGTGGGCTGAGAGGGAGGTAGAGGAGACGGTGGGGCTTCGATCTCTGTGGTGGGAGAAGCGTCAGCACCAAGGCTGAGGTCAGGCTGTGGTGCCAAACCACAGGAGCAGGCCAGCAACTCCACCCTCGGCATCCCTGCCACATGGCCCTGGGCTGCTGACCTAAGCAGCCGCCCACACCCTGTTCACTGATCGGAGAACCAGCTTGGTCAGCGGGAGCTGATTTAACTCTTGCAGACTCCGGCCACTCGGCTGGAGCCTATACTTCATCTGTGCTTTGACTTTTCTCGATGAAGACTAACTTGGGAGCACATGGGGCTGGAGCGAGGGGGAGAGCTACTCTGTGGTTTCACCCTCCATGAGACTTTGGGTGGGCTGCAGCCATGTAGAAACTGCTTAGACCAGACACTGGGTCACTCAACTCTCATGCCCAGACCTGGAGGCCCGAGAGCGGCAGGCCCAGGCCCACGGCAGTGAGGAGGAGGAGGAGAGCAGGAGCACCAGGACACTGGAGCAGGAGGTGCGTCTGGGTGTGTTAGCCCAAACCCATCTGCAGGAAAAGGAGGAGGGTGGGCCTGGGTGGCTTTCATGGCTGTGGACGGCCCTGTTCCTCCATGGGGTCCGGGTAATCTGTCCAACCCGCAGGTTGCTGGGCCCTAGCTTGCAGGTGGAGCCTCCCAGGGACCCTTACAAGGTCAGCCAGCCTGGAATTGGTTCTGCACAGAATTGTCACTCCCCCCAACCCCGCTCTGCAGATCGAACGCCTTCGAGAAGAGGGCTCCCGGCAGCTGGAGGAGCAGCAGAAGCTGATCCAGGAGCAGATACGCCAGGAGCGGGAGCAGAGGTTGAGAGGTAAGCATCCCTCACATCCCCCGACATCCCCTCTGAGGCAGATACCCAGAGGGGCCGCACGGGCTGTTTGGTGGAGTTGCTCTGGAGGTTTCCACCTGCTTGGAGCCCTGGGGGCACCTGACTCAGACATACACCACCTGTCCCTTCTTCCCACCACTTCTCTGGGGCCTATTTGTTTTCATTCTGCCTGAAATCTGCTGGCCCTGTTTGAGTCCTAAGCAGAGCTGACTCTATTTTAGAGCAGTTCGGTAGAGGAAAGGTTCTGGGATACTTTGTTTCAGTAAAACTATGCCTTTGTTGGTAAAGTGCTAACCGTGGCCTTCAGCTTGGCAGACCGCCCCTGAGGTAGCAGCTCCTCTGGGTGCGGGTGGGATTGCCTCTACTTCCCCCCCTGAAGCTCATCAGCAGGGCAGATAGTGCCCTTGGTAAGGAGTGACTTTTTATAGGTCCTTCAGGCTCTGGGTTGTGTCTCCTTTAGAGAACCTGCTGCCTCCCTCCTATTCTACCTTGCTAATTTTCCCAAATTTTTTAGGAAAGGCAGAAAGTCCTGAAGGCAGAGGAACCCCTAAGCTAAAGGTGAGCCCTGTGGGACCCATGAGCCACTGCACAGTACCCCTTATCAACAAGAACAGATTCTTCTGGGGGCTCTAGGGGTTCTGGCAGGGATGCTAGGTCTCTGGGAGCCAGCACCACCCGCCAGGTCCTTCCATCCTCCTGCTGCCTAGGGATCAGATCAGCCTCTCGGAGCTCACCCTGAAAAGCCCTCTTAGCCCTGGCAATTGCCGGGCAGCGCTCCCCAGAAACCCTGGAAGGGGAGCATCTCATGGGGGTGGAAGTGTGGTCTCAGGTGAGCAGGCCACCCTGCCTGTCCGTTTGCAAGAGAAACACATTTTTGCAGGGTCACTCCCTAGATGACAAGTGCCTAGAAGACCATCAAGGTGTCGCTCCACCCATTAAGCTCAGGTGCTGGCACTGTTCAGGCCGAGGTCAGAGTTTAATGGTGGTGCCCATTGCTGTCCTTGCAGCTAAAATGGAAATGCAAGAAGGAAGATGAGTCAAAAGGCGGCTACTCCAGAGATGTCCTCTTACAGCTTTTCCAGAAGGTCTGCCCTGCCACCTTCCCTCTTTCCCATCACTTCTGCCTGCACCTCAGCCAAAACCCCGAGTCTCCATGCCTAAACTTCCCTTAACATCTCTGCCAGCCTTTTTTTGCTGTCTCACAGACCACAGGGCAGCCCAGAGGTTTTCTCCACCAGCGGCCGTCTGGTTCTTGTGTTGCCATGTGCCCTCCAGCCTCGTGTCGCCTTCCCTGCCCAGCTCTGGACCTTGCCATCTGGAGTGTGTGGGGAGAGACAGGGTGGGAAGGTGGCACAGAAGCCCCATCCCCTTTCCCACCTTTGGTGACAGTCTGAATCTTCAGTCCTTTGTCCAGGTCTCCTTTCCTGGCTTTCCTTTGCTACCACATCGCAGCAAAAATCTCCTTTCTTTCCCATCTCTGATCCCTCTCTGGGAATTTAGCAACAAAGCATTATCGGCCCGCCAAAAATGCCCCGGCAGGCCTCAGGCCAACCCAGACTTGTCTTGCTCCCAAAGGCTGAGCCATGCTTACTGGGACCCCCTTGTCCTTACAGTATGGAGAGGTGCTCAACCTGGTGCTTTCTAGTAAGAAGGCTGGCACTGCTGTGGTAGAGTTCGCAACCATCAAGGCTGCGGTGAGTGCTAGGGGAGGCTTTGGGGGGCCATGGTGGCCCCACTATTTCAGAGTAGGAGCCAGTATTGTGGGCCTTCTGAGCTTAGGTATCCACACTCCCAGAAGCCCCCCACCCCCCACCAATTCCTGGGAGTAGAGGCACAGCAAGTGAAGATAAGGGAGAGCAGAGACCGACTCTGTTTCCTGCTTCACACCCTCTATCCTCTACCCTCCTGTGGGAGCTGGCATCCCTCCAGGCATGCTTTGCCTCTCTCCCCACTCCCCAGTTAGAAGGCTCATACCTCCTCACTCACCCATGAGGAAGGTTAAAGCTTCAGCCCATCATTGTGTGAGGGTTGCTTGGTTTTGTCTGGAGGATGACAGTGCTGGTTCTGGTTCTTTCTGCTGGTGTAGAGAGAGCCACTTTATGGCTGATTGGAGCCACGGGACCAGGACTGGGTACTGTGTTTGGCAGGAGCTGGCTGTCCAGAATGAAGTGGGCCTGGTTGATAACCCTCTGAAGATTTCCTGGTTGGAGGGACGACCGCAGTGTGGGAGAGACCCCAGCCACTCAGGACTGTCACAGGTAAGGAACCACACCTCCGTCAGCTGGGTCTGCCCAGGGTTTGTGGGACCTTTTCCTGTCTGGGCTCTGCTTGGGGCCCTTTCCTCCCAAATCCAGGTTGTCAGGAGCAGAGTGAGACTGGCAGTTTTGCCAGCCTGAACAGGACTAGGATTCTGTCCTGACTCTTTCTGTCTGAGTGCTAGGACCCCAGCCCACACAGAATACTTAGACCTTACTTTCCCGCCACAACCCCGTGTCTGGCTGGGGCTCCCACCTTCACCCTGAGGGGCTTTTCTGGCCCCCAGGCTGCTTGGTTGTTGTGTGAAGCCCTGGGCGCTTTGACTACCTGGTGCCGCAGGCAGCTTGAACGCCCTCTTGTCCCCCGCCTCTCCCACTGGCTCCGGTTCCCGGGTTGTCTGGGGCTGCCTGGGGCAGGGGCCAATGGGCAGGAGGAAGTCTCCTCAGCACCAGCACTGGCGCCTCTGCCGGTCCCGGGGCGCTGCCTGCACGGATGCCTTGTGGTGTGGCACAGATCTGGCGCTGGCTCTCAGCCTTCCAGCTTCGTGAGGGTTTCTGTTCGCCACCTGCACACACCTGGCCCTTGTTACACTGGCCCACTTTGGCAGGACAGAGAGCCTTTGGGCCCAGAGCTGTCCCTTCCCTGAAATGGCCCATGGATCTGTTGGGAGCCTCAGGCTGCCGTGCTCACAGCCCGATCCGTGGGGGAGAGGGTCCCTAGGGTCCGCAGGGCTTTGCTCTCATTGCCTCAGCCTGCTCACCTGTGTGCTCTCAGCTGGCTGGGAGACGGGAAGCTCCCTGGGAGTGTGGCCCAGGACCCGGACAGAGGAGAAAGATGAACGGTCAGGAGCCCTTCCTTAGAGACCTCATTCCCCACTGTTAAGTCCCAGCATTTCACAGCCCCAGAGGACACTGTAGGCCATGTTACAAAGAACTTTATTCATTTTCTCCTGCATCCAGAGGGGAGCCTTTGAACTCCGCAAGTCCGCACAGAGGAGGGAAGAGGGAGGCTGTCGGTATGGGTATGGAAGCAGTGTGCGTCAGAGCTTCCTCTCCCCCTCTGCCAGGCTTGGAGAGGCCTGGAGTGTCAGAACCATGAGGCCAGCCCGTCTGAGTTCTGGTTGCAAGTCTTCTGGCCAGGCCATGAGACGGGGGCAGTAGCACAGCCCTTGGCCTTGACCAGTGGGCCGGCCCTGGGTAGCAGGCCCCCAATCGTCAGGGGGTTTGGGCAAGGCAGAGCTCCTCAATCCTGGTGGAGGATTCTGGAGACCTGCTGAGCTGCTTTACAGTAACAGCCACGAGCTTCATGTCCATCCCCGATCCAGTTCTCCTATGCTCTTGGGGCAGAAAGGGAAATCTGCCATTGTTCCTGCTACATTTCCCAACGGTTCCCATCACTAAAATTCTGGGAACTGCCCCAAGCACCCCTTTGCAGGCTGTGCCTGTGCCTTTGGCTGCCATTCCCTATAGCCTCCTTCCTTGGGCACCAGGCGTGCTCTGGACAGCTACCTTGGCAGCTTGTCTTGTCCCTTTTTGGCAAGTGATTTGTTTGCCCTTCCCCCTGAGTTGTACTGTGCACCTCTACCTGCCTGTCTCTTCCTACTCTGCCAGCCCCTCCCCTCTCCTGTAGGTCCTGTTTGTCCCCCTACCTGCACCGGGCACTCATGGCTTCCAGGCCATGGCCGAGACCCAAACTGCCTGCTAGGGCTTTCTCCAGTGATGTTCATGTTCAGCCAGCACTGTCCAAAGTGGTAGCCATTCATCACGTGTGGCTGCTGAACATTTGAAATGTGGCTAGTGCAGCCATAGAACTAAATTCTTAATTTTACTTAATTTCAATTTGAACAGTCACACATAGTGCGGGGGACCCATTTTGCCTCACCCTATCCTGTGATGCCTCTCTGTTAACAGTGGCTTCTGAGGGGCCGGTGCAGGACACCTGTCTGACCCGCGCAGTCTGCATGTCCTCCACTCCCCCGGACTCACCCCTTGTGCTGTCCTCCTCCTCTGCTGGCCTCTGCCCTGTTCCTGTGGTTACAGGCGTGGCCTCCCTTGCCCAGCCCGGCCAACTGCCTTCAGGGCTCCTGCCACCAAGTGCCCCCTCATAGCACTTCCAGCTTGCTTCTGTGCCTCCGCTCCCAGGTGATGTGGAGGACTTCAGGACCTGGAGGGCAGGCAGGACCCTGGATTTCTATCCCTAATTCTCCTGAATCTGCAGCTGTACCCTCCTTCCAGGCTTCCGGCTCTTCCAGTGACCCCACCTCTGCCCACCCACACCCCATTCAGAAGCTAGGTTCGTTCGGAAATTGCTCCCTCAGTATCTGTAGAACTTCCTCAAGAAGTGAAATCCCCAAGTCCACTTTGAAGGAGAAGAAGGGATCACTGAGGTCTGGAGCAGGTGTCCCCTGGAAGGGGGGAGTGTCCAGAAGGTCATTGTCAGAGTAGTGGTGGAGGGTGCCCGCCAGTGAGAGCGCAGAGGGCAGGGTGGCCGAGTAGGCGGGCGGGGGCTCCAGGATGTTGGGGCAGCTGGAGCTCTCTCGGTAGAGGCGGGGAGGCTTGGGCGGGGCCAGCAGGGTGGCCCGGGGCTGCTCATCCCCCCACAGAGGCAGGCGCCGGCCATCTGGCCGCCCTCTCAACTCCCGGATGACTTCTCGGTTGCTGTACTCCTCGTGGTCCCCGCCAGCTGTGCTCGCCTGGCTGAGCACGCTGCCCTGTCGCCGGAGTCGCTGTGGCCGCCCCAGGCTCAGTCGCTTGAAGAAGGAGGCATTGCGGAAGGAGCCTTTCCGCCAGGTCTCCATGGCATGCAGGGGAGCCAGCAGACAAGCAGCCCAGTTCAAGAGTAGCTAGTCACCATGGGGTCCCTGCTGGAGCAGTGACTGGCTAGAGCGGTGGGGACAGCCCTGGCTAGAAGCACAGACTTTTGGCCAGCATCTTGGACGGCAGCAAGAGGTCCTGGGACGAGGGTGCTTTTGTCCGGGAGAGCCCAGAGGTGGGAGTTCCTGGCAACAGGAGTTTCCCAGAGGGATAGGCTTGGCCTGGTTACTTGATCGGACAGTGGGAAAAAACCCCAGGAGGAAGAAGCAGCACTTACTGGAGTCGGAGGGCGGGCAGCCCCACCTGAGGTGCCAATGATGGATGTTGCGGTGCTGGAGCAGCCTGGGCTGCTTCCCCAGGGGCCTCCGCTCTGGGTGGGCCCGAGCTCGCCTTGCCTTCCCGTCCCCTGCACTTGGCCTCTCCGCCGCAGCGCCCGGACTCTGATGAGTGGCTTGGCTGTTTGTGCCGGTGCGTGGCAGTGGGGATTGTTGTTTTCAGGTGACTCAGTCAGGTGGGAAGCCAGGTTTCATGCTCTTAGGTAATTGCAGCATCTGCGGGCTGGGATTGGGCCAGCCATGGCCAACACCCCCGGGCACTGGGGAGCTTTGGATTCCCCTGAGGACTCTGGGGGCAGCCCTGCTTTGTGTGTCACCACTGTTGCTTCCTTTTCCCCCTGCAGCCTCTCTGCCTGGGGCCCTAACCCCCTTCAGCCCCCCAAGTGTCTGCGAGGGAGGGGCCCCAGGAGGGTGGGTATTAATTGAAAGGCAGGCATGTGGAACAGTTGTTGGGGAAGGAAGAGAGACCTGTCACTAGTGTGGGTGACTCAGTCCTGGGGCCTGGTGACAGGCCCTCATTAGCCAAGCCTGCAGGTACGAGGGGGAAGAGGCAGAGGGTGTGTTAACGGGAAGCAGCCCCATGCCTATAAAGGGCTGGCCCCTCCCTCGGCTGGGCTCAGGGCATGCCAGGGTGCCTCTGAGGTTTGCTCTGCAGGGCAGACTTATCTTGGAAAGGGGGGAGCTGCTCTCCATCGGCCTGACACCCAGTCTGGCAGTTTCTCATCTTCCTGGATTTACTCCCATAGCCTCAGGGCAGGAGGGAGCAGTTGAGGGCCAACGTCCTGCTGCCTCTGGTCCTGCCTTGCTCCAGTCCTTTCTCTTGGGTCACCTGCACCTGCTTTGGGGTCCCCCCTGTGTGGAAAGGGCTGAGCCACACAGGGCTGCCTTGAAGTGTCAGCTGGGCCAGGTTCGTTAGGTGGGCCTGGCTGGGAGGGCTCCTGTTCTCCGAGATGCCACAGCCTGGGACAGACAAGGAGGCTGGAACGGTCAGAGAATTGGCGGGGGTGGGGGGGGGGGCTGGGCTGAGTCACGCTTCCTGGTTCTGTATAGCCCTAACCTCAAACCAGTTGGCCATGGTCTGGCATCTTAACCCAGGTCACTTCCTTCATATTCCCCAGGTCACTGACCACTGAACCTCCCCTGGCTTATTAGTGAGCGAGCACTCGCTGGGTCTGCCGCAGGACAGGCTCTGCAGTTGGCTGTGTCCACACCCCCTGGCCTGGCTCACTGTGTGCCAGCTCAGGTGGGCCTCACGCTTCACATAGCTTTAGCTATACTGATGGAAGAAGTGCTTTGGTTCCCGCGGTAGACCCTATGGCGGTGTGGGGTTGGAGGGGGTGGGAGGATCGGAGCTCCATCGCAGAGCTGCCTCTTGGGCCCACAACACTGGCGCGTTGGGTTGGTTGTTTATTAGTCTTTTGATTATTGACATATAGCACTCCTTACTCCCCCGCACTGTGCTGGCAAGATCATAAAAGAAAAAGGCACGGGCCCTGTCCTCCAGCAGGCCTGGTATGTATTTTTAGGAGGGGAGTGGCCTCATGCGTGTTTCTCTCTCCTTCCAGTGCGGGGGCTGACAGAGGCTGGGTCTAGGGCAGGGCTCTGCGCTCTCGTGTCCAGACAGGAGCCGCACTGTGCACCGCGGGGAGGTGGGCAGCCGGGAGGGGGTGGTGGTCTCGCAGAGCCCAGGGCATTTCTGTCCCTCTGAGTGTCCTCACTGGAAACCTGTGAGAAGCAGGAGCCACAGGAGGCGGAAAGAAGTGTCAAATAGGGCGGGGAGTCAATGAAGGGTGACGGCCTGGCCTGGCGGGCGCATGGAGTGATTCAGTCCGAGATGGAGCAGGGTGGAAGGCCTGGGGGGCGGGGACTGATAGCTGCTCCGGATGGAGGGGAGGAGGGCCCGCTGAGAAGTATGGGGCCTCCTCACTCCCTGACTCAGGACTAGTTCTGCCTAGGCCAGCCCTCCAAGTCTGGAATGTGGGGCTGTGCCCTGCTGCCCTGACCAACGTCCCCTGGTTGCCCCCTGCCCCCCAGGGCTCAGTGCTGTCGGAGAGGGACTATGAGAGCCTCGTCATGATGCGCATGCGCCAGGCAGCGGAGCGGCAACAGCTGATCGCCCAGATGCAGCGGGAGGACGAGGTGGGGCAGCCCACGTAGTCTTCTAACTGCAGCCCACTCACCCACAGGCCCCTTCTTGAACGTCACCAATAAACCTTTCTTTTTTTTCTTTTAATTGTTTTTTTTTTTTTTTTTTTTTTTTTTACAAGAATCTACCTCTATTGCATATGTAGGCGTAGGGTGCTGGCCCGACCAAGCGCGTCCCTTGTTCCTGGACTCTGCCCGAGAGGGTTCCACTCAGGCCTGGCTCTCCCTCCCCGGGAGTGAGCCGACCCCCAGGGAGGGGCTCCGCGCAGTGAGAGTCAGTGGGCCAGCAGAACAGAGGAGCAAGCACTCGACACAGGCCTTTATTGGCTTGGACCAGGTACTTAGGACCCTCCCACCCAGTCCTGGGCTGTGCTCCTTGGGGGCTCCCAGTTCCTGGCCAGGGACAGCCTGGCTCTTTCGGGCCCCTCAGCCTGCGCACAGAACACGGCCTTCTCCAGGGCTCTCGGCCAGGCCAAAAAGCTGGAGGGGCAGCTGGGAGCACCAGGGCAAGGGCCCTGCCCTCTCACCCCATCCTCTGGGGCTGAGGCAGGTTTCAGAAAAGGCCATTCACAGCCCAGTGGTGCCTGGCTAAGGAAAATGACAATTTGGGAAGAGAGGGGCCAGGCGGTGAGTGAATGGGGACTCAGGATCAGGGCCGGTGGCATCCACTCAAAAAAGGGGTGCTCTGTGTGCTCCTCAGTGTGAGAGGGTCACTCCTTATGCAGGCACCACACCAGTGTCTGGCCCACCCCTGTCATGCTCAGCACACGGAAGCCCCTGCGTTCCAGTTTGTCCAGCACTATGCGAGGAGGATCGCTGACAAAGTACTCATAACTGTGAAGAGAAGGGGGAGAGGAGACAGCGTCAGAGGGCATGCAGCACCAATTCCCCGCACAGGTGTCTGCTGATGATGAGGCTGGGTCAGGAATCCTTGTCCTGACGGATACTTGCTGGGTGCCTTCTAGTGCCAGGCTAAGTGCACACTCCCTGCCGCCTCCCCCGCCAAGCACTGGGCTTGCATATCTTGTTCCTTCCTCCCAACAACCTAAGGAAGGGACCATGATTGCTCCCATTTTATAAACAAGAAATCTTGGAGGGGTTGGGTAGCTTTCCAAATGTCATTGGGATCGCAGAACCCACGTTAGTCTGACGATAGCCCCATGTGCACGGGGCCACTGTGCTATTCAGGAGGAATGGCCTGTTCTCTCCAGGGTGCCCCCCAGGGCTCTGCCCCCTCTTGCTGCCCTGCCTGTCCCATGGTCCTGGAGCAGTAGGTTGACCCCTAATAGCTCCTGGCTCTGGATGCTGCTCCCTGGGACAGGGAATGCTGGCCGTCCCTTCTTTCAGGGCTGATTGACTGTGAAGTGTTGTCAGTCAGATAAAGGGCTCAAGCCCCAAGCTGGGCATCTGGAGGCAAATGCCTCCTGGTAAAGGAATGGGGTTGGGTTCAGCTCGCCAACCCTGACCCAAGGGGCTGGGGCCAGCTTGCCTCCTTTCTCCCCTCTTTGAACTGGGACTCATTCTTGCAGCATTTCTCGTGAGCTCCAAGCCTGTGGAGCTGGTGTGAAGAACGTCAGGGGAAGTGGCCAAGTCCCCAGGCAGCAGCCGAGCTGAAAGTAGGACCCAGGCTGCCTGCTGCCTATTTGTAGAGTTTAGCTTTCTTACTCAGCCAGCCGGAGAGAAACCTTTCTCTCTGTGCCGGTCTTTGTCTCAATGGGGTCCAGCTCTGAGATGAAAGGGCAGGGCAAGGAGCAGTCCACTTACGGAGTCCTCTACACAGCTGGACTCTGTCCTGGGGTTTCCTTGTGAAGGGAGGGCCAGTGAGAAAACTTTCGGAGCAAGCTGGGGGGCTGTGGTAAAGCCACAGGCAGGACTGACCCCACAGAGGACAGAACCCCATGATGCAGGCAGGGCCTCTGAGGCTGGGCACTGGCATCGTCCCTGGGCTTGGCTGTGTAAAAGAAACAGACAGTGCTTGGGGGCCTGCAGGGAGAAGATCCTTAAGAATGCCGCTACTTACAAGTTGTTTCCCAAGGCACTTCTCTTGGAGGCCCCCAGATACTGCATCAGCTCTGGATCTGAGTGTTCATCGCCCACCATGGTAGGGCCCACCTCCTGCAAGACAAGCCACAAGGGCTGCTTGGCTGGCTGCCAGGGAGAGGGAGAAGGGCTCTCTGCCCTTCCTCCCCTGCCTGCTGGCCCTGAGCCAGTTCAGGGCTGGACAGGGTGCTGAGGAACACAGGGGGCTGAGCGTGAGCTGGGAAAGGGTGGAGCCCTCAGTGATCAGGCCAGGCAGTGTGAGGCGTCCCTAGCCCTTCCAAGCCAAGCTGGTCATTGCCCGCCTCCTGGCAACTTCCTGCCAGGCATCACTACCCGTGTTTGTGTGTCTCAGAATCACCTGGAAAACAAACGAAAACCAGTCCACACAAAAACTGGTACGGGAGTGTTCATCGCAGCGTTATTCACAAGACCCAAAAAGGGGGAGACAGCCTAAGTGTTTGTCATCTGACAATCGGATGAACTGATGGAGCCACACAGTGGGATCGTACCCAGCAAAACAGAGGAATGGGTAAGTACCCGTGCCCCCTACAATACAGATGAACTTTGAAAATGCACAAGTGAAAGAAGCCAAACATGGAAGTAATTAGTGGTTACCTAGGGCTGGGGCCTCAGGTGCAGTGAAGAGTGACCCCTAAGATACAGGGCATGGGTACAGGGTGTCTTTTCAAGGGAATGGAAATGTTTTAAAATTGATTATAGTGGGGGCGCCTGGGTGGCTCAGTGGGTTAAGCCGCTGCCTTCGGCTCGGGTCATGATCTCAGGATCCTGGGATCGAGCCCCGCGTCCGGCTCTCTGCTCAGCAGGGAGCCTGCTTCCTCCTCTCTCTCTGCCTGCCTCTCTGCCTGCTTTGTGATCTCTCTCTGTCAAATAAATAAATAAAATCTTTAAAAAAAAAATTGATTATAGTGATGGCTGCACAACTCTTGAGTATGCTTTTAAAAATAAGGAATTGTACACTTTAAATTGGTGTGTTCTTTGAGATGTATGCTATATATCAGTAAAGCTGTCATATAATATATAATTATATATATACACATATATGTGTGTGTGTGTATATATATATTTTTTAAAGATTTTATTTATTTATTTGACAGAGATCACAAGTAGGCAGAGAGACAGGCAGAGAGAGAGGGGGAAGCAGGCTCCTTGCTGAGCAGAGAACCCGATGTGGGGCTCAATCCCAGGACCCTGGGATCATGACCTGAGCCGAAAGCAGAGGCTTTAACCCACTGAGCCACCCAGGCGCCCCTATATATATATTTTTTTTTAATCCTGAAGAGCACTGAATTCCCCAGCCCCAGGCGTAGAGAGTATTTGGGGAGGTCTGGGAAGGGGCCCAGGAGTGCACATTTTAACTGCCCAAGTAACTGGTTCTCTAGGGCACTTCCAGGACCTCACCTGTCCCACGGCAACCCCACCATCCGCACCCGCTGTCTCTATCTCAGGGGACCTGTGCATGCGCTGATGGAGTGGGAAAGAACGGAGGTGCCGGCTGGGCTGCCCAGTTGAATCATTCTGAAGTTAAAAGGGGATTCCTGCGGCGACCAGGACAGTCTTGGATGAGGAAATCGTACCCAGAGAAAGGGGCATCACTTCTGACTCCGGAATGGTCTCCCCACCTCTAACCACAGGTCCTGTCTCCCTTCTTTCTCTCCTAAAGGTTTTCTGGAAGTGCCCGAGTGTGCTGTTAGTAGCTGTGGATGGGCCAGGCCCTTGGCATAAGTGTTTTAGTGTCTTAGCGCGTCGTTTTCTTTCCCAAACCTCTTTTCCCCAAAGTATTTCCACTCCCACCCCCCACCCACGAGCAACCCCAACCCCAACCCCAACCCCTGCCGAGTCGCTCTCTGTAGGGCAGTGGGTGCTGTACACGTTGAGGCCAGGGCTTCCTGGCTTCCTTGGGTGGGCAGTAGCACAGGAACCTCAAGGACCCTGAGCTCACTCCGCCGGCGGGGACGCACGCACCCTACCCCCTTCGCGTGCCGGCCAGAACGTCCCGACCCCCGCGTTCCCGGCTGAGTCCGCTCCCCAGCCCCCAACCTGCGGCCCGAGGGGGCGTGTCCCGGGCGGCTTCCGGGTCCAGTCACTGGCGGGCGCTGCCCGAGAGGGAGGCGCCAAGGTGCAGTGGAAGCTCCCTCTTTCCCCGCCTGGCCCCAACCAACTCCGTCCCAACTCGCAGGGCGCGGGTACTCACGATGCGGATCTGGGTGCTAATGAGCACGTAGGGCATGGTGAGCGCGTCCCGGCCGGGCTCCCACCCAGGGCTTTGGGCTCGGCGCCGACGCCAGCCTCTCGAGCTCCGGGACTGCGCCTGCCGCCCAGAGTCCAGTTACTCCAGCTCTGGCCTCGGGCGGTGCCAATCCCGGGGCGCCCAGCCCGTGACTGCCGCGGCCGGCCAATCGGGAGCGGGCACTCGTGACACGCCCTCGCACTTGATGATTCGGTCCGCCTCCTGCCCTCGGGGCCGTGCTCTGGGACTTTGTTGTGGGATGTTGGCGCGCACCCGCTGCCTGGAGTGGGGGGTGGTCTAGCGGGCTAGGAGGGCTGCGGCGGGGCGTGCTGTAAAGAGTGCGTGTTGACCGTGCGCCCGCTTTCTGCAACATCTTGGGCACTAGGTTCCAAAGTCCTGCTGGTCCCCGTCCGGTCGAAGCAGAGCAGGGAGGAATCCGGGACTCTCCCAAAAGGTCCCTCCCAAGCTCAAGCCCTCCCCACCCAGGGACGCTTCGAAAGCTCTTAGTGGATCCTCACTTCTGGTCCCCAGGACACATTCTCCGGGGACTGCGTCAGCCCACGGGAGACAGGGGTGGGACGCTTGTGGCTACAGCTAGAATAACCACTTCGTGTGCACCGCGCCTTTTCGCCTCCCTGACTGTAATTCCTAGTGCAGCGGCCGAACCTTGCATTTCTGTGCTCCCATAAGTAAATCTATAGAGGAACCTCATGAGCGTTTGGCTGTGTGTCAGTCCCCGAGCGATTTAAACCGATGGAATCTGGCCCCCACTTCGGAGAGCTTCCCGCAAAGCTGGAGAGATGCAGCGCACGCGCGCAAAATCACAAGGCAACAATTGAGGCAAAAAGAAACTACATTCCCGGACACCAGCCCCCGATTAGAGGGCAGCAAGTGCACTCGGTGTGTCCACGCCCTCATCTCGGTGTTTCAAAATCTGAAAACTCAAAAGATTCTCTTCCCGCCTTGTGATTGGTTCTCTAAAAAACAAAGCCAAAACAAAACAAAAAATAGCCTGTAAACTTCTCTGGCCCTTGAACAATCTTCTTGTCCCCGAAGGGCCCTTACGGGCCTGCTCTGTGTCTCCAGCAGCTTGACAGATGTGGAGAGCACTGGAAGGGAAACAGGCAGTTGTAATCCTAAAGGACTCTTTCAGGTCTGTTGACTATTCTGTACTCCCTCTGTCTATTCTCCACCTCCAAGACTAACAATTTAGCTGGAGAGAGAAGATCCTCATGTCTAACGAAGGAGTCGTTAAAAGATTAATACTCAGGCCATATAAAGAACTCCTACGAATCAACAAGAAAAAGATAAATCAATAGAAAAAACATGGGCGAATGACTTGAATAGGCACTTTCAAAAGAGGGAATGGAAATGGCCGGTAAACCGATAACATGATGTCCAATATCACTAGAAATTCCAGAAATGCAAATCAAACTGTATTTTATTTTCTATTTTAAAGACTCATTTATTTTGGGGGGCCTGGGTGGCTCAGTGGGTTAAAGCCTCTGCCTTCAGCTCGGGTCATGATCTCAGGGTCCTGGGATCAAGCCCCACATCCGGCTCTCTGCTCAGCAGGGAGCCTGCTTCTCCCTCTCCCTCTGCCTGCCACTCTGCCTACTTGTGATCTCTGTCTCTCAAATGAATAAATAAAATCTTTAAAAAAAAAGTGGAGTAAGTTTTTGGTTGATTGATACAACAGAAACTGCATAGCCATAAAAAATGCAAAGTGCACAAGTAAATTTGGAAAAATAGAGAATAATTCTACTTACAGCTCACAACTTGCCAAACTAAATAATACATTGTTTGGGGATAAAAACATAAGGTTAATTACACATCAATAAAAAATATGTGGTAAAATTATAAAGAAGAGTAAGGGAATGATAAATGTAATATTTAGGGCAGTGTTCACCTCTGAGAGAAGTGAAAGGCACTAACTAGGTAGGGACAGCCATGCTGGAGTCTTAGAAGGCAAAAGTGATGTTCTCTTTCTCACACTAGTACCTGGATGCTCAGGGTTATACATGTCTTCAATCCTTATTGTATTATAAATACCCTTTTGTAGCTATTAAATATTTAATAATAACAATTTTTAAAAAATATTTTTTATTTATTTGACAGAGATCACAAGTAGGCGCAGAGGCAGGCAGAGAGAGAGAGGGGGAAGCAGGCTCTCCGCTGAGCAGAGAGCCCGATGTGGGGCTCGATCCCAGGACCCCGAGACCATGACCTGAGCCGAAGGCAGAGGCTTAACCCACTGAGCCACCCAGGTGCCCCAATAATAACAATTTAAAGAAAATATTTTATTTGACAGAAATCACAAGCAGGTAGAGAGGCAGGCAGAGAGAGAGGGGGAAGTAGGCTCCCTGCTGAGCAGAGAGCCTGATTCAGGGCTCAATCCCAGGACCTTGAGTTCATGGCCTGAGCTGAAGGCAGAGGCTTTAACCCACTGAGCCAGCCAGGCGCCCCAATAAGAACAATTTTTTTAAGTGTCAACTACCTTAGTGGTCAGACACAGGGGGTAATGCCACCATCCCAAGGCATTTGACTATGTTGCCTGTCTTGGAAGAGCAAGGTGGGTAGATGAAGTTGGCCTATTTGGAGCAGAGATGAGAGCAGGAATCTGGGGGCTGCTGCTCTCCTCTCTCAGGCTGGGCTGGGGCGAAGAGGAGATGGGAAGGCAGTGCCATCTTAGATGGCCAGGGCTTTGTTACATTTGCAAAACTGGTCTGCAGATGCCACAGAAGATAGAAAGCTCCATCCAGAATCCCCCACCCCGCTGCTGAGTGCTCTGGCAGCCACGTGCCCACCAGATAACATCTTTAATATCCAGAGGGAAATGAATTCCCCTGCTTGGTCTGCCCATCTGGCCTTGCCTCTTGCCACAATCCGTTTATCTGGCAGATCTTCCTCCCCTGCAGGAAGAGAAGAAATTGTTCTTCCACAAGTCAGTTTTTCATCATGAAGGCATTGTCTGGGTGGTGGGGCCTGGGCACTGGTTATTCCTTCTTTCCTTCCTCCCTCCATATTCAGCTTCTGTGGGTCGCTTCTGCACTGGAGTTCAGGGAATATGGAGATGAATTCAGCATGAATCCCAACCTGGAAGAGTGAACACACTAGTGGGGTAGCCAGACTAGAAAGCAGATATTGATGTAACCAAGTGTAGTGGAAGTAACCAAGCCTCAGGAGCAAAGAAAAATTAAAAGATTAAGCCCACCAAGGTGGTAGTCTGAAAAGGTTCCCCAAAAGAAATGACTTTTTATTCTCTCCAAAAATTAATATTGTCTTACTACTGAAGATACACATGCTTATCTCAGAAAAATGAGAAAAAATTAGGGGAAAAGTATATTAAAAGCACTCTTTTCTTACCACCAAGACAATTATAGTTCATGTTTTTCAGAAGATACCAGTTGAACTGAATCATTAGAAATGAACAGGAGAGATATTGGTAAATTTCTATTCCTTAAACTATGGGGTAGGAACCTGTTGCCTTTAAGTTATTCCTTACAATGTACATTACATTAAATGTACTCTCTCTCTTTTTTTTTTTTTTAATTTATTTGACAGACAGAAATCACAAGCAGGCAGAGAGGCAGGCAGAGAGGAGGAAGCAGGCTCCCTGCTGAGCAGAGAGCCTGATGCGAGGCTCGATCCCAGGACCCTGAGATCATGACCCGAGCCGAAGGCAGAGGCTTTAACCCACTGAGCCACCCAGGCGCCCCTAAATGTACTCTCTTATTTGTAAAATATCTCACAATTAAAAGGTAAATAGGGGTGCCTGGGTGGCTCAGTGGGTTAAGCCTGAGCTTAAGTGGGTTAAGCTGAGCAGAGAGCCTGCTTCCCTCTCTCTTTCTCTCTCTCTCTCTGCCTGCCTCTCTGACTGCTTGTGATCTCTCTGTCAAATAAATAAATAAAATCTTTAAAAGGTAAATAAATATAATATCTAGACAAGGATTTAAGGAGGACTCATTTAGATAATTTACCTGTCACTAAACGAAATTTTAACTTGAGAGAAATGTTGGTGGTAAAACTGGAATCATAGTCCTGTATTTTCAGTTTTTAAAATTATAAGAAGTTGCATAAAATCTCAAAAGTTTAAAGTGGAATTACAAAAATCAATGGGCCATGGTGGTGTTAACTTTAAAAATAAAACTGCCAGGGGCGCCTGGGTGGCTCAGTCATTAAGCATCTGCCTTGGGCTCAGGTCATGACCCCAGGATCCTGGGATCCATCCCTGCATCAGGCTTCCTGTTCCATGGGAAGCCTGCTTCTCCCTCTCCCACTCCCTCTGCTTGTGTTCCCTCTCTTACTTCGTCTCTCTCTGTCAAATAAATAAATAAAATCTTTTAAAAAAATAAAGATTTTATTTATTTATTTGACAGACAGAGATCACATGTAGGCAGAGGCAGGAAGAGAGAGAGGGGGAAGCAGGGCTCGCAGGACCCTGGGATCATGACCTGAGCTGAAGGCAGAAGCTTTAACCCACTGAGCCCCCCAGGTGCCCCATAAATAAAATCTTAAAAAAAAAAAACAACTGCCAATTGTTTTACCAACAAAAACATAGGTTTATTCAGGGATAGCAGAGGTTTGTAATCCAGGACAAGAAAGCTACAGCAAAACCAGAGGCAAGTTCAACAAACAAAGGAGAGAAATGTTATTTTACGGAAAAGAAGGAGGAAGTTGGGAGGAGTTGTTTTGAACATCAATCCACTGGAGAGTAGCAAGAGTTAAAGGTGAGGATGGTTTTTCATAGGCTGAGTTGCAGGGGCAGCTGATTTATTTCAGGGGATGCAATGTACATCTTTTTCTGTGGGAGCCTGTCATTTATGATTCTCTACAGTTGAGATTCTTCTGTTAGGGGTCTGTAATTGACAATTCTTCCTGTAACTGACATTGAGTGGTATGGTTGCCCCTTGGTTTCCCTTTATTAATTTTCACAACGGGCACAGAAATCCTGAAGAATATAGATTTTAAAAAAAACGAAATGGTATCTGAACCAATTTAAGCAATTAGAGACGAACTCAAGTTTTAGCCTCACCCAAGTGCTTAAAATTTAGAGGAATGAATTTCATTTACATTCTGGAAATGAAAAAGCAGTTTATAATTCTGTTCTTGACCGAGGTATTACAGATAAT